ACGTCACGGATTATCTATCTAAAAGGTTGCTTAATAAAACGATGAAATTTATCAGAATTAAAATCAGCGTTCAACATTGAAAAAATGTTGCATGTATAATTATTGTAATTATCTGTTGTCTTTTGTTTACACTTAATAAATTTCTCTAAGAATTGTAAATTATAAATTTTACATGGATTTATAAGCAAGTATTTCTGTTAGTTTTTGATGTTCAAGACCCATCCAGAAAAACCTTTGAGAAAATATCTTTTAGGAAAAGTAGGACGAGGTATGATTTAAAAAATTCTGGTTGTCATGTCTAATCCTACAACAATAGAAAAGTTATAAACTTTTGCAACTGAACTACAAAGTGCGACGTGCTTTATACAGCAGTCGCACTCTGAACTTGGTATTAGTAGATCCAAGCTAATTATTTTATTTTCATTCAATGACATCATTTTTTATTTTTGGTACACTTTAGATGTTGCATAAAATCTTTACTTCACCTGTATAACAATGGGCAAAACCAGGAGCGGATCTAAAGTTAAAATTTAGTATTGGAGTTAAGTAACCAACTTGTAAAGTAACCCTTTTTTAAAGCAGTTACTTTGCAAGTTGAAAATTTATTATTAGATATTTATTGTTAATAATTTATTATTATCAAAATCTTTCTTAGAAGTTATATGTGAAAAACTTGGCAAAAGTTTCGTACACTGGATGAAATTTCGTGAAAGTTTAAATCTATTTATAAACTTTGATAAAAAGATAATTTTTTATGAAAGTCTAGTCCCTCTCCTGTCACTCCGCCATATTAAGCCGGGTGAGATATACTTTTATGGTTATTTTGTTTTGTGCTCTAATTGTTGCGGTTTTTGACAAAACATTTGAAATAAAAACAAACTTTGGAGTTTGCACTTAATCTAGAAGTTAATCGAAAATCCTGTATTCGTTTCTACATTACTTAATGTGAAATTTGTAACATTTCACTGTAAGTTCCTTGTCAAAATCGTATTGTGAGGCTTGATAATTTTAAAAATCTCAATGAATTGAAAAGTCATCTGAATGATTTCGGCAATTTGATTTCAATCAATGTCATGTTGAATTTATTATGAGCCCATGCTGATTAGAGATTATATCATAATGTTACAGCATAATATCCATATGTTTATCAAGTTTGTTCTCGAAGATTGTAACAATTTCTGCGAAAATGATTTCTTTTGGTAGTTTGTTCTACCATTTTTTAGCTCTGTCAGAATATTTTCCCATAGTTTGTTGCTTTTATAAATTCAATATTAAAACGTGATTTATGACCCCTAATGTTTGCAGCTTGACCGTATGCTGAAATAGATTTTGCTGACTTCGTTTGTTGATACCAAGATACATTGTCCAATTTATGAAAAGTTTTAAAATATTGAATTAAACCACCTCTTTTCCTGGTTTTAAAGATAGTTAGTTAAAGTTTTTTTAACCTTATTTTAAAGGGTAGATGCTTTACCTCTAGAATCAATTTAGTTTCTCATATTTTTGTACATTTTTTATTACAAAAATTACGAAAGTGCAGTACAGAATATTTATCGTATTTTTATCCTTGTAAGAACTGATTTGATTAATTAACCTAATCGACAATTTTATTTACAACCATATTGGTATGGTAATTTTACATTGTAGTATTTGATATTATTATGCTGTCTTTTTCTGTAGTTGTTGAGGCTAGTTTTGAATCTTTCATATAATATTGAATTTTTTTTATTATTGATGTTAAATTTATCATCCATTTGTCTGGCCAGTTAGATTATCAATATCATCGAAGAATTTTGAGTCTGCCTTTTTATGTGTTTTAAATGTAACAATGCTTTCAATACCTTTCTGGATAATGCGTCAGATTTCTGATTGTCATGCTAGATTGTATCTAGTGACAGAAACTTTTTAAATCTTTTTAGATTTAGATGTAGAAAGCTAAAACCTTATTCCGGTTTGTATGCAAGCTTAAGTACTGCACTTCGTCTGCATTTGAGTTTGAGTTGTTGTCTCTTATTGTGAGAGTTATTATTTATTGTCTTATAGATGTGCTGCATCAATATACTTAATTGTCTTATAGTTTTTACCCGCCGTTGCCTGAGATTAGTGCTATTTGCAATTTTTATAAATGACCTGCGTGATTGTATTCAATCAATGTGTGATATGTTTAGACTGAACCTTTAGCGCCAGGTTAAGAATACCCAAAAGCTCAAAAGAGATCTTAACGTCATTTTATGCTGAGATCAAGGATCAAAAATAAATGTCAATAGCAAATTTTTTGACCTAAATAATAATTTTTTTTTTACGTAACTCTAGGATGTAAAGCAACATTTGCATTCGGCGGAAAAGGACATTCAAGGATTAATAAACAGGCATATATAATCTTTAAGTTGTTATTTTGTTAATTAAAATAAATCTAAATAGCCATCTCAATATTCAAACGTTAATTCTTTCAAAAATTTACGGAAACATATCGATAGACTAGTTCATGGCAAAAAAAACCTTCAAATATGCAATAAATTTTTAATGTTATCTGCCTGAAAAAACATTAAATTTGACGTCATGGTTAAGCTTGTTGATTTAAGGCTAGCTGGTTATCATCAGAGCGAAAGGTTTAATAAATAAAATAGTTTGCTCTTTTTGTATGTATCGTGAAAAATAATTGTATTTTTTTTTTGTTTTAATATCGATTAAAACTTTTGCGTCAACATAATTTGGTATTTCAAGTTTTCTGTTGCGTAAGCGAAAAAAAAATTGTATTAAATTTAAGTTATAAGTTATTAAATTATAAGATTTTTTTTTTTTTTTGATTTTAGTATTGCATTATCTTAACGCTGTTTGCCCAATCATATTGTAGATATTTTTGTCCAATCATATTGTAGATATTTTTATCGGACAAAATTTTAATCGGACTAAATTTTATGAAAGAATTTAATTTTATTTGGCATTTTATTAAACAATCTATGTAATAATATTGACTTGGTAAATAAATGTAATCATGCTTAAAGAATTTCTTATCTTAAGAAATTTTCAGCCCCCTCAATTAAAAAACTTTATTTACTTTTGTTTTTGTCATTATGTTTGATTTTGTCCATTAAAAATTTTTGTCTATCTTGTAAATCTTGTAAATACTTATTTGGTCAAAAAATAATTTTTGATAAGTTTGCATGTTAAATCCTATAAGAAATATTATAAGCCACAGCAAAATATGATAAACACGACAAACACTGCAAATAATAGTTTTTTTTTCCTGTAAAAACGATTTATTTGGATATATGAGGTTGACAATAAAGAATATAACGCGATGATATTTAAAGACACAATATCACTTGAGCAATGAGTTTAAATTCAAGCCAGGTTTGCAATATGGGTTTACAATATGTACTTGTTTATAATATATATTTTAAATAACATTAAAAGCGTAAAAATATAAAATACTAAAAACCGTTAAATGACTCGATAAACGCGTTTTAAATTCAAGCTAATTTTCCACAGTAAATATATTATAGTAAACTATAATATATTTGCTGCAAATAAAAAATATTTACTAAGAGCAATACATCTAAAAACGCTAAAATCTATAGGTATTAGTCCAGAACAAAATAGAACATCGAAAACACTGATACATGCATCGACAATATAGGTATAAAAATCCTAAAACGAATTCTACGAAACCCAAATCATCCGCTACACATAAAGATAAAATATAAATCTAAAATAACAACAAGACAAAATATCAACTTCGGGTTCAAGCCACTGCAAATACGACATCCAAAAATAGTGTTACCCAACGAACATTATTATTATTATATGCTTCCCATTCTTATAAGAATGGGAAGCATAACTTGTACACTAGTTAATCAAAGCAACTACAAACTTTACTACCATAATATGTGTGTGTGTGTGTGTGTATATATATATATATATATATATATATATATATATATATATATATATATATATATATATATATATATATATATATATATATATATATATATATATATATATATATATATATATATATATATATATATATATATATATATATATGTATGTATGCATGTCTTTTATTTTTTACCAAAAATTAAAAAAGGTTTTGTTGGTATAATAAAAATTGATTGGTTAAAAAAAGCGAAGTTTAACAACCGGAATTGACGATAGTTCCGCTATTCAAATGTGTACGGTTTCTCATGCAATACGCATGGTAAGACAAATCGCGAAAGTTTCAAAAGAAAGGTTTTTTTTAGTTAGAGATTTTGCGCTTACATCTCCAACATGGTATACATGTATATATTAAGTAGACCATCTTTTTAAGCCAAAAAGTTGATTAGTGTTTTTTTTTTACTTTTCTTTATCAAAGAAGTATTGATACTTTATTGTTGCTTGGTATTAAATATCCTGTGATGGATTTTTACGTTTTACAAATTATATTTGTGAAAAAACATAAATTATAACATCAAATTCTTATTAAAGATATAACATTACGATATTATTAGTATATATTTATCATGTTATATATGTATGCGTATTTTTTAATTTATTTTTATTATTCATATATAGTAACTGTATGTTTATTCTTTTCTGCATCTTTAGTTTTTGTAGATTCCATTATTTGTAAATAATATTTTGATATTTAAATTAGAAAATTATTTCTGCTAGTTATATAGTACACATTTTGTATCCGTTTTGTTTGTTATTATATTTTATCCATTATCTTGAAGTGAATTTAGATTTTTTTTTGTTTTGTTTTGCTTTTCTTAATAATATTTATACATTAAGTTTAATTTCTTTTAGTTAAATATATTTTTATATACTACTACTATTACTATTAAACTTTGGCTTGTTCTTAAAGTTTTTTGGAGTTCAACCCATCATTAGTGATTATATAAACGAGTCAAAAATGTTATTTAGTAGAGCTTGATATAAATTATTGTATTATTGATTTTTTATTTTTAATTTTTAACCCTACATGAAATTTTCAATTATAATGATCACTTTAGATGAATTAATATTTGATGGGATAACATCAGAAGGTATCCTAGCTTCAAAGGTAACAAACAAAATAATCAAGTACTTGTTTTTAAGAAAAAAACTAACCATTATGAATTTTAAAGTTTGTGTCATAAAATGTTTTGCTGCAGAAATCAAACTAAAGTAAAAAAATAACGAGCTACTCATTTTCAGATTGCATTAACTTAGAAACTACATGTAATGTTCGTAAAAAAAAAAAAAAAATATTTAAAAAACTATAATTTTTACAATGATAGTTTAGCTTTATGTGCATCTCGCATTCATTCTTCAACAACAAAAAAAATTTCACATAAAAATAATTGTATGTTTCACATAAAAATAGGCTAATAGGAAATCTTTTTTACAGCTAAAATACAGACCTTGAAAAATATCTATTTTGTTTGTAGATAAATCTAAAAGTGTGAGATAATAAAAACTAAGACAAACTTAATTTTTAAAAACAATTTGTTTTTAAAAATTAAGTTTGTCTTAGTTATTATTGATCCTCATTTTATGATGATGTAGAATTAAAATTTAAGTCAGGTTACAACAACGAAATATACAAACTAATATAATAAAATTCTTGCCATTATCTACAAGTTGTTTTGCAAACTTAATTTAATTATAATTTAAAAACTTACTTTGATTATAGTTTAAAAAAAGGTATGTATTTTGTACATTGTTGTAAATTATTATTAAACATATAGCTCCTTTAAGTTAATTTAAAGTTTGTTAGTTCAGTTCATTTAAGTCAAAAATTAATAAAAGTTGTTGAAGAATAGTATTTAATTTTAAATCTAAATGTAAAAGTCATAATCATAAGTCATCCTCTTATATATCTCGAGTTTATGTTGTTTTGCATTATATCACTGCAATCCAATCATTTAAACTTTAGAGGAAAATATCTCATTATAAGTCTCGCTCATAAAGTCAAATGCTCAAGTTTTCTAGCGCCTTGTAATAATTCTAAATTTTAAATAAACTATGCTTATTTTTATAATATATTTAATTACAGTTTTTAATTTTTAATTTTATATGTTGATTTGTAATATTAATGTTTTTCTTTACTAAGGTAGTAATATCTTAATTTCTATTTGTTTTATAAGAATTTATTTCTTATTATTTAAATTTATATTAAAATTATATAACATAAATATCTTTATTAACACTTCTTAGGTTGTCAAAATATTTCAGCTGAAAATTAGTATTTTCCAACTAATCCAATGATGATAGACACTTGGATTTGTCAATTACCTCTAGAAAGTTTAGCATCTTCAAATAAAATTGTGTGTGAACAACACCTTGTTTCTTTACTGTAATAAGATATTGCTGTTATCGAATTTGTTTTAAAAAGTTGTCTGCTTTGTTAAAGGTTGTTACAATGAATGAAGTTAATATGATAATAGTTTAAGTAAAACCAAGTGTAATTTGTTGGAAAATTGTCAGTGAATTGTTGTTCAGCTTCCATTTTTTATGCTTTAATTGTACATTAAACATCTCATGAAATGGAATCACAAGATTAAACAACCCAATGGTGATCTGGTATTTAGAAAAAGATATTTAAAAAATTCTATACATAAAGCATATTTCAATCATATTTGATTGTGACACAACAGTGAAAAAAAATCTTGTTAAATTGGTTCCTAATTTGACAAAGCTCTTCATCTAACTACTAATAAAAGACAAAATGTAATGCTGGGTCTAAAAAATTTTAAATGACAAACAACCTTGTAGTGTTGGTGCATTTTCAAATTAAATGGAACATATCAGTTTATTTGTTTTATTACAAAACTATGGAAAACTTAAAGTGTTTAGTCTACTGGCAAATGTTTTTGCTTTTTTGGTCATGATTTAAAAAAGATTTTTTCTCTTGGCATCAAAGATTTATTTTTGAAATAAACTGAAATTTATTTCAATAGCTATTTTTTTATTAAAAGATTTATATATTAATTAAGTTTTACAAAAAAAATTTTTATTTTAAGATAAAATAAGTATTAAAATTATATATTTAAAATATTTGTATATTGTTGTCTCTGATAAAATTTTTGTTTATGTTACATTACATATAAATAACATATATATAAATAACAAAACAATATATATATAAATAACAAAAGTTTTATAAAAAAATCAGTAGATTTTATAAAGTTTGTTGTTATTTTTCAAGATTTTATTCATTTTTAATTTTTTTATGTTATCACCTCTTCAAGGCTGATAAGCCCACTACAGTTGAGGAAGCTACTTTTATTGTGGTTACAACCCTCTCAACTTTTTAAATTCAAAACACCAACCTTGACAAACAAGGCTGCTATGTAGATAAACAAGTTGAGCGCAGTATTACTAAGGAAGTGCTGGAGATCAAATTCAGAACTTATCACTTGAAGCAAGTGCTCTACCACTAGATCATTATTGCCACAATTAGGAAAATTACTCTGTATAAATCTGAGTGTGTGTTTTACTAACCCAGTACTTATTCAAAAAAAAGAACTAGAATATATAGTAACTATATAATTATATATACCTTATTTCTGAGCTTATTCAATGACTAAACTGAGAATATGCAATATTATTACAATTAAAGGATATACAACAATAGGTACTAGCAAATTTTAGCATTAAATTGCTTCAAGATGGAGTAAATAATTTATAAAAAAAATAAGAGTTAACTCAAAAATAAAAAAATCTAAAACTAACTAGCAGCTAAACTTTTTTTAAACTTATTTTTCAAATTAAATAAAATTGAAAAATAAGTTTGAAAAAAATCAACATAAAGTTAAAAAGAAATGCTTCATTAAATACATGTTAGCGTGAACAAAACTAAAACTTTCCCACTGAAGCTTAATATTCTTTCTGCATTAAAATTTAAAAAGTTAAAAAGTTTTCAAGCTTAAAAGATAAATGTTTTTTTTTCTAATTAAAAAATAAAAATACCTGAATTTTTTTTAAACTTCTAAACTTGAATAATGTGCAACATTTATAAATGTTTTATTTATGTTTTTATCTAATTATATGGCTTTAATGTAAAATGTTTCACAATGAATTAGATCTAAAAAAAAAAAATTAAATCAAGATAGAATTGGGAAGGATTGGAACTTTCATATTTTGCGCATAGTTATATGGTCTAATAAAGACTCCCACTTGAAACAATTGATTTATCTTTAAAAAAATTGAAAATTGCTGGTGCCTAATACAACAATGTTATAAACATTCATTTTATTAATTATTTGTTGTAGTTTTTTTCTTCTTATTTTTGAGCTAATATAAAGTTTATTAGTTTATTGTTATATATTCCAGGGATTAGAAAGCTCCACTTTTTTGAATCAAATATTTTTACCTGGATTTATATTTAGTTTTAAAATTTAAAATATCTGAAGCTTCTAAAGTCTATCAAAAATTATGATTCTGGTTTCTCTATGCTTCATAGGTTCATAAATTATAGATTCTGGTTTCTCTATGGTTCATAGGTTAAATATTTTTGTTGCTTCAGAACAGTCCAGGTAAAAATTGTTAGATCCCTATTGTGTTTTTAATTCTTGGGCATGTGCAAAAATAATTAGACACTTTTTCTTTTTAATATTTTATTTTAAAAAAGTAAACAATTAAAATTTGATTATAAATGCTCCATTATTGACTATGACAGTTTGTCAAACTCTTTGGGTTTAGAGGCAAAAAAAGTCACTAAGGTGAGCTTTGAGTTTGGTCTCCTTTTCAAAAACTTTGCCTCATATTGATTGCTCATCAAACGAAACAAGTAATAATTAGTCAGGGACAAGTCTATTGAGAATAGGCAAACCAACTCAGTATTCTTTTTAAATAGCAAAAAAATTACAAATGTCTTAATGCCAAGTTTGCTTTTTAAAAATCAAATAATAAGAAACTCAAGTACCTTGTTTTGAACAATAATCAAATAATGTCAGCACTCTAGAGTATTCACAAAGAAGAGTGCAGTTTTCTATAGTTAGCTCTTAATTATCTTTTTTAATTAGCCAGGTTTTAATTTTTGGGGATATAGTGTATTACATTAGTGTTTGAATTATTGCCTCACTAATATTTTGAGGGGCTTCTCTAGCAGAATGGCCCATTTGGTATTCATATAGCAGACAACACTTACAATGCTTTTTTAAATTGTTTAATAGCATTAAATAAAAATTTATGTGTGTGTGCATATGTATATATATATATGTATATATATATATATATATATATATATATATATATATATATATATATATATATATATATATATATATATATATATATATATACATATATATATATATATATATATATATATGGCCATAATGTTTAAATGCAGATGTAATATATTGAGTAGGAAAATAAGTTTTCAGTTATTTTTGCACGCACCCAATGTTTTGAATACAAAATGATTTTCTACCATGCTCAACTTACTGCACAGAGAAACAAGTTAAGCATGGTACTACTATGGATGTGGTGGGAATTAAACTTGATTATTAAACCCCCTTATGGTAATATTTTAAAAATAATAAATTATAGTTTCATTCAAACACTTCTTATTTGCCTAGAAATATTACAATATAATCAATTTTATCTTTAAAATATTTTAGATCAATATATTTATAACTGCAATAATATGAAAATTGAATCTTGTTGAATTATTAATGAATGGTTAGTGTTAATATTATTATTGTTATTATTATTATTAATATTATCATCACATTCATTATTATTCTTATTACATTATTATTATTATTACATTCATTATTATTATTATGTATAGATTACTTTTACTTAATTTTTATTTATTTATAGATGTCTGATGATTTGGTTTTTCCACCACCAGATGCTTTCTCATTTATGCACGACCTTAGTCAGTTGCAGGATCATGTTAATGACATAAATCCTGCATTTCCAATGCCTGAACAATTAAATATACCTGAGCTTGTTCCACACAGAGTTTTATCACCAAGAGATGAACAGTTTCATAATATTAGTCATTCAAGCTCTCCTTCGTTATTTACACCCATTTCAAACCTTATAAAACAAACTCAGCAACACTCGGCACTTGTAGAAAATCCTATAATATGTTTTCCAACACAATTAGAAAAGTTTAATTCAATTCCACAGCAGCATTCGACAAATGAACTAAACATTCACAGTAACTTTGTAAATGATATTCATGGAATCAATAATAAAGTATTACCAAACGAACTTATATCTAAAAATCCATCGTCACAGAACTCTCAATATATAGTTGCTGGTAATCAGCATATATCGATGCAGCCTCATAAAAATATATCTAATATGCAGTATAATAATTTAAATACTGTTGAACTTTCAAATACTTCTAACCATTTACTTAACATTAACTCTAAACAGCCTCAAACATTAAAGCTTCCTTCAGAAATTCAAACATCGCCTAAACCGCCTCTCAAAGGACAAATAGTAAAAACTGCTGACCAGAAGCTTATGTTTGTTACTGAAGTTAATGGTAAGCGAGTTGGTTATCTTATACAACAGTCAAAGCCATCTTTAGAAACTCAGCAAAGTAACACTTTGCAACAATTACAATTAAATACAACCATTAATCAATTTTCTAATTCAATTGATGATGTTATATCAGGTTCATCAGAAATGATGACAAATCAAAATCTTATTGGTGATGGTATAAAATCTCCTTCATTTTTTGATGGATCTGCAGGAGTTTCTAAAAAACAATTTGAAACTGACAGGAAAGAATCAATAGCAAATGTTCTACGAGAAAAATTTCATAATTTACGCCATCCGCTTTATTCAAAGAACCAATATAAAAAAACTGATGAAAATACTACTTCTGTGAAAACTCCAAGCACAACTGTTGAGCACATTCCAACTATAAATAGAATTATGGAAGATTTGAACAGAGCAATGGAAGTGCAAGTTGAGAAAGACAATAATGAAAATATTTTTGATGAAGAAGGACAAGAAATTGAATTTAGTGAAAATGATTTGACTTATGAAGAATCTTTAGAGACGGAGTGGAATAAAAAAAACGATGTAAAAGAATTAACTAATTCAAGGACTTCCAGTACTGATGATGAAGATTCGTTACCTTTATCAAAGTTAAAATTTGAAGAAGATTTAACTGAAATTTCTTCCAAAAAAAAGGGGAGAAAAGCAGGTTCTAAAAACAGTGACTTACTTCCATTATCCCAAGTTGCTGCTAAACTTAGGAAGGAAGATGATACAAAATTAAAAGGGAAAAAGAAAGAGAAAACTAAAGCAAAAAAAATGAAAAAGGATTCCAGGGCACCAGTGAAGTAATTTTTCTCTTTATTTTTTATTTGTATTCATGTTAGTATTATTAGTATTTTGAAATAAAGTTGATTTCTTCAAATCAATTTTTTTCATGTTAGGCCCATTCTGGCATATCAACTATTTTTTCGTGAGGTTCAAACTGGAATCAAGAAAGATCATCCTGAGGTTTGTTGCATGTTAAAAAAACATTTTTAATTTTTATAATTTTTTTTTTTTGGTTCTTTAAATACTGCTTTTCTGTTTGAATACTGCTCATCTGCTAAAATACTGCACTTCTGGTAAATTTCTGCTCTTCTGCAAAAATACTGTTCTTCTGCTAAATTACTGCTCTTCTGCTAAAACACTTCTCTTCTGGTAAATACTGCTCTTCTGGTAAAATACTTTCCTTATAAAATAGTAATTTCATAAACTACTATTTAATATTACTAATGTAGTTTAAACATTACATTAGTAAAAGATTTTTTTTAGGAAAGAATACACTTTTTAAATGTACAAGTAGTTTAACCCAAGTCTTTAATTAAAGGGTGGCAAGTTGAAAATGTGACAGTTTTAAAAGATGTTGCTCCCTCATTTTTTAATGTTTTTCAAAAAACTAAAAAGGTTCGATTACAGCATCACATTCTTTATTGTAAAAAGTCTTAATGATCTTCAATTTTGGTCTAATCTCTGCATTCTTGTCTTCCCTTTGCTTACATACAAGCAAGAAAATCAGGATCCTGATTTTCTTGCTTGTATGGATAGAAGACTTGCTTTTTTAGCGTCATGGAGATATATTAATAAATAGATTTGTCAAGTTGCTTGGCATTGGGAGACGGTGTCCTTATGGTCAAACATTGTTTTTAGTTGCTTTACATTGGTTTTGTTCATGATTGCTGGTTTTTTGCCACTATTCTTGACTCTTTCGTCTCCAGATTTTCAGCTGGGTTGATAATCTGGTAGATTGTGCTTCTTGGCCTTTTCTCAGCTACAAAGTGCTTAATGCAGAATGTTTTTCCTTCTGATCTATTGGCTAGATAAAATTTGTACAGACATTTTCTTCATGTTTTGTATTCACTGATACATTTTTTTACAAATTTACTTTAAAATAAGTAGTTGACACCAATCAAAATAAATTAATATAACATATTTTTTGTCTGCTAAACTTTGTCCCATTCTCAACTTGTCACCTGTTATATGAAAGATTTTATATTATCTATATTATAAATGTTTTTCCTTATGAAAATTTTCTTGAAGTTTTGAGTATAAAGTTTATATTTTTATAATCTTTTATAATATGAATATTGTAAATAATTATTAAATTATGTGCAAGCTTTTTTGACATCTGTATTTTTGAATTAATACATAGAAACTTTTTATAAGTAAAGTTTACAAGATAAGTTTACATTTTGAGAACGCTTTTAAAACACCCACAGTAATGTTAAGTTCTTTTTCTTTCTTATATGTTTAAAAATCATTAATGTTCATATAGAGCAGTGGCATAACTAGGGGGAGCATAACCCCACAAAGCGGGGGGGGGGGGGAAGAGCTTAGAGGGCCCCGCGGAGATTTACCACGGCTGTTTCAGAGTGAGCTTTACGGCTTCTTGTTTTGTTTTTTTAAATTTTGACTTAGGGTGTGTTACGTTTAAATTTTGACTTAGGGGGTGTTAAAAACATTTATAACTTTTGAAATATTAGAGATAATTTTGTTTTGTAAAAGGAATAAAAACAACAATAAAATGTTTAATCATACGACATTTAATACAATAGTAAAAAAACTTCTTTTAGTTTATAAAAAGCGCAACAAATGATGAACTTGGTTAAATTTTAATAATTTGTTGTTACATTTTATCAAAAAAAAAAATCAGAAAAATATATTTCTGATAGTCATTATCAAATACACTCATTGTTTAACTATTATTAAAATAAAAAAAATCTTACTTAATTGTTAAAGGTTAACTGAAACAGTCTTGTTTTAAAAAATAATTCACTAAGTTGATAAATTCAATGCATTAAAAGATAAAGCCAGATTTTGATTTTGAATTATTTATTCTTAACATTTTAAAGCCTTTAAAATACTTAAGCAATTCTTTTTTATGCATACAGTTTTAATAATATGGTGTTAGGTTGTTAATAAATAAAGACTCTAATAAAATAATTTATGACCAAAACTGAGTTAAAGTTTTTGAATTAACCTCGCTTTTGGTAATAAAATTATTTTATGGCACTTGAATCAATCTTTTCTCACAAAAAATAAACATTTCTTTAAATATACAATAGCTAATTTAAATTTTTTGATAATGTGTTTTTATTCTCATAAAAAACTGTTTTATAATGAGTTGATCCACTAATAAGTTCGAGTTCAATCCCCACCACGTCCCTGGTAGTACCGCGCTCAACTCGTTTTTCCGCGCAGCAGCCTTGTTCAGCAAGGTTCGTGTTTCAGAGTTATAGAGTTGAGAGAGGGTTATATAACCACAAATAAGTAGCCTCCTCATCTGTAGTGGCCTTCTCAGCCTTGAGGAGGTGAATTAACAAAAAAAAAAAAAGTTCTTTAAGTAGAAAATGATCTTTGAACACCCAGTTGATAATAGATTTATGCACCATTCTAAAGAAAAAACTGTTTAACTTTGCTTATTTTATACTTAAAAATTCGTCTCGCTAAGAAAGTTATTTTCATAAAATTTTTTACATATTTGCTTGGGACGTACAGAATTTAAGGTCACGTGATTATTTTGTAATGTAAACAATGTTTTGCGCATTAAACTAGAAAAATTTGTTTCTAAACTAGCCAAGTTTGAAAACATATTTCATAGCCTAGCTAGAGGTACAGCAAACAATTTTTTGATTTTTACATGCAGAAAGGGTTGAAATTTCAATAATTTAGTGCGGATTACAAAAATAATACGATCTTCATTATTTAATAATAAAATTGAAAATATAAATGCATTAAAAAATAGTTAAAAATTAAAAATAAGCAATCCGCACCAAAAATTAGATAGAATAGACATTTATTTATAAATGTCCAAATTTCAACCATGAGGCATGAAGCTATGTTATGAAATCTTAGTTGACCCAAGACAGGTTTTCCGTAAAAATTACAAAAAACAGAAAAGTGATTCCAAATCGTTACCAATATTTAAACATTAATATTTTTATTTTGTCTAATGTAAATATTTATTTTAAAAAAGATAAGTCTTTCATAATTTTTTTATTTGAAGATGAAAGCACTTATAGGAAAAAAACACTATTATTTTAAAGTTAGTGCATTTTTAAACTTTTTTTGCAGAAATACTTTTTTTTTTGATAAACACAAAAATAACTGCAACGTCAAGCTCGCTTTTATATTGAATGCTCGCTTTTATATTGAAACAGTTGTGTTACAAATGTTACTCATGAATAATATGACTGGTAATAATAATCTGAGTGTTACTAATTTCTGTTTTATCAAATACATTTTATGAATTTATAATTTTTCATGCATCCCTACGAACATTTTTGGAGAAAAAATTTATATAAAATTTAAGGAGGACCCCTTTACTTTTTTGGCAGGGGGGGGATTTATAGTTATGCCACTGATATAGGGAGCATTAACGATTTTTACTTGAACTTGCTACCACTAGATTTTTTTTTATATGCAAAGATTTTTTTTTAAATCTTCTGAAAATTTCATTTTCTAAGTCTGAAATAGTTTTAAAAAAACACTCACTATGTTATTAAATGTGCTATATATATATATATATATATATATATATATATATATATATATATATATATATATATATATATATATATATATATATATATATATATGTATATGTGTATATATATATATATATATATATATATATATATATATATATATATATATATATATATATATATATATATATATATATATATAAACAATTTAAAATGTATTCTCCAAAAAGAGTGCTCAATGTTCTTAAAAGAACAGAGCAGTTACAAATTAGAAGAAAATCACTTAGCAAAATTTTTTCTCATTTAACACTGTGTTTCATCAATAAAGAATCATCAGAAATGCATCATTTTTGCTCATTTCAAAGACTCATCAGAAATGCAAAATTTGCTAAGTGATTTTCTACTAATTTATATATATATATACATATATATATATATATATATATATATATATATATATATATATATATATATATATATATATATATATATATATATATATATATATATATATATATATATATATCAATCCTTGGAATTAGGGACCTAACTGCGGACCTAACTGCTGACCTAAAAGTGTTAGATGTTTCGATGTTTTATGATAAAACCTTTGTATCAAATTTTTTTGTATATACATTGACTAAAATAGGTCAAACTTTTTTATAATTGTGTCAGCATTTTCCATAAATGTGTGAAAATTTACTGTAGCTTAGACATTTATGGCTTCCTGTAATTTAATTTTTGGTATAAATTGAAGTTTTGTTAGTTTAATCATTTATTTCTGATGAGTCTTAATTGATGAAACACAATATAATATTGATGGTTTAAAATTTTGTTTTTCTTTAGTTTAGAGAGTGACATAAGACTTTAATTTTTTGAGTTTTTTTTTTTTTGTAGTATTACTTTTTCCCAAACCATAAACTCTAAAAGTTGACCTTACTATGTCGACAGTTAAAAGTCTGTTCTGCTTATCATATTAATTTTCATATCTTTGCACAAACTGTTGCATCATTTCATTTGCTCGTTCAGAATGATCATTGACAACAGTTAACATTTTTACAAAATTTTTAAAATTCTTAAATGATGATTGGGTGTGCCAAGCATTGACGTGGAACCATGAGAAGGAGAGTAACAACCATGGTTGTCAATTCCCTTTCCATGGTTGTCACCTAACTCAATCAATGAAAAAATCAAATAAAAAAACTCATCAACCAAAGAGAGAGGTTCGGTACCTTCATTTTTTTAATGACAATAATTGTTTATATTATATATATTCTGTTTAAAAAAATATGGATCTGGCATTTGAAAGAAAAGCAAAGCTTCAGCAATTGCTGCTTTTTTATTCATAAAAACATTTTTATTCAAAATTGCTAAGGGAACAATTGTCGAATCAAAATACCATGTATGCTTATAAGAGACTGCTAACACGGTGTCAACTGCCTCAGGATTAGAACAAACTTTTTTATACTCTTTTATTTGAAAGGT